AACTTGGCAAGATAAGATGGGAGAAAGCGAGAAAGCCAAGAACAAGGGAGTCCCTGGAACGCCGCGTGACGGAGCTGCCATTGAAATCACAGGTCTTGTATACAGTGCATTGAAGTGGGTAGCGGAGCTACACGAGCGGGGACTTTATCAGCACTCTGGGGTCGATCTTGAGGAAGGCAAGTCAGTGACTTTCAAGTCATGGGCGGCAAAGATCAAGGAGAATTTCGAGCGCTGCTACTATGTTCCACCTAATCCGGATGAGGATGCCAATTACGTTGTTGATCGGAATGTGGTCAACCGGCGTGGAATCTACAAGGATCTTTACAAATCAGGAAAACCATACGAAGATTACCAGCTTCGTTCGAACTTCCCGATTGCCATGACTGTTGCACCAGATTTGTTCACGCCTTCGAAAGCACTGTCAGCCCTGGCACTTGCCGATGAGGTCCTGGTCGGCCCGGTCGGCATGGCTACTCTTGATCCTTCTGACCTCAATTACCGACCTTACTACAACAACTCCGAGGATTCTGAGGATTTTGCTACCTCCAAGGGTAGAAACTATCATCAAGGTCCGGAATGGGTGTGGCAGCGCGGATTCTTCCTCCGTGCGTTCCTGCACTTTGATCTAGCTCGCAGAACAACACGCGAGGAGCGAACTGAGGCCTACCAGCAGGTTACTCGACGACTGGAAGGCTGCAAAAAGGCCTTGAGAGAGAGTCCGTGGAGAGGTCTCACGGAGCTCTCGAACAAGGACGGTGCACACTGCGCTGACTCGGTAAGCCTGAACACACTCCCCGTTTGAGCAAAATCGCGGCGCTAACTATAATATTTCCAATAGTCACCCACGCAAGCATGGTCTGCTGGATGCCTGCTTGATTTGTACTATGATGCTTCACAGTACACTCAGGATGAGTGAGCGCTTCCAATAATGCCAGGTGCCTTGGCGGACAAACCATGATCACCTACTGGTGGACTGAGCAATATTTCTCATTCGATGCAGTGTGACAGGCCACATAACCACTATTTAGCATCTATCTCCTTGACAGACAGTAAGAACTTCGCGTCTTTTGACTATTGATCAATGTGTAATAATTTCGTATCAATTTCAATGCCGGCTAAGTGGTTGCAGCTCGGCTGTACAAAACCAAGGACTGTACCTGTAGAGACTGGAAGCGAGACATAAAAGTGTGCTGAGTCAGCCGACGGCACAAGTTTGTGCATGAGGACGGTTTGAGTTTGGGTTCGTTGAGACGCCCATCGAAGTGAAGCGATGCCCGACACGGCGAAGATCGCATTTTAGCGCAGAGATTGCGGTGTAGGTCCCTTACTTCGAATGTTGCCTGACGTGGATCTGTTTTTGGCATTTCTGCTTTACACTTCGCAACAACTTCGAGGCTGTGACGCTGTGTACTACGTGTAATCTGGCCCCCCTGACGTCAGTTGTTTTTAAGCTGCGCATTCCTCCCCGGACAGAAAGAGCTCCGCGTGCCCATATGCATTGATTACCCGAGACATTTGTCAAACGCACTCAAGCGCAGAACACGACTTCACGAGAGTCATGTCACTCACGCAATCTGCTGCGGCAGCGATGCTGACCGTGGTTGATGCGCCCATTGAAGTACATGAGCCGAGTTGGGGGGATCAAACGGACTCTCGCGACCTCTACACTCAGTTTGTCATTAGTTTGACTATCGGTCTGGGCGCTTTCCTTGCTTTCTGTGTAAGTAGCTGGAAGCCACTTGTGAATTCCTCTTCTCTAACGAGTCGAACTGGCATAGGTTCTGCGACCGAAATGGACCGAGCTCTATGCCGCGCGGAGAAGACAGCGCTGCGCCGCATCCCACTTGCCTGAACTCCCGGATAGCTTCTTTGGTTGGATACCTGTGCTGTATCGGATCACTGAAGAACAGGTGCTCGAGTCGGCGGGCTTAGATGCATTTGTGGTAAGTGCTGCTGCATGCCCCCGTCAGCTTGTTCCTGGTCTTAGATAGTGGCTGACAATCCCAATGTCCGATTCAGTTCTTGACCTTCCTCAAATTCGCGATTCGGTTCCTCTCCGCCGTATTCTTCTTCGCCTTGGTCATCATCCTCCCTATGCATTACAGGAATACCGGTAAATCGGGCGTCCCGGGCTGGGACGACGATGACGAGCCTGTTGACACTTTTGATGGCGACAAGGATAAGAAGAAGATTATCTCGGACCCGAATTACCTCTGGATGTATGTGGTATTCACGTACATCTTTACTGGACTCGCCGTCTACATGCTCGTGCAGGATACAAACAAGGTCATTCGTATCCGGCAGCAATATCTCGGGAGTCAGACAAGCACGACAGATAGAACGATTCGTCTCTCTGGTATTCCTCACGACATGGGGTCGGAGGAGAAAATCAGAGAGTTTATAGAGGGTCTGCAGATTGGGAAAGTGCAAAGCGTTACCTTGTGCAAAGACTGGCGCGAATTGGACCGGCTAATTGATGAGCGGCTCAAAATCCTTCGGAATCTCGAGTGGGCATGGACGAAGCACCTGGGTTATAAACGTGTCAAGGCCAACGCAAATCGATTGCCATTGCTGCAGCAACATGCGCGTGGATCCAGCATCGTTTCGGAGGAGGATAGCGAGCGTATACAACTTCTCTCTGACAGCATGCCAGACCATGTCCTTGACTATGCTCACAAACGACCGACTACCCGCATCTGGTATGGACCACTCAAGCTGCGCTACCGGAATGTGGATGCTATCGACTATTACGAAGAGAAGCTGCGGAGGATCGATGAACAGATCCAGCTTGCACGCCAAAAGGAGTACCCACCCACTGAGATCGCATTCGTCACGATGGAGTCTATTGCCGCCTCGCAGATGGTTGTTCAGGCCATCCTTGATCCGCAGCCAATGCAGCTTCTTGCTCGGTTGGCACCAGCTCCTGCAGATGTTGTGTGGAAGAACACCTACATACCTCGCTCGAGACGAATGATGCAATCCTGGTCCATTACAGTTGTCATCGGCTTCCTGACGGTTTTCTGGTCTGTGCTTTTGATTCCTGTGGCGTACTTGCTCGAGTATGAGACGCTTCACAAGGTGTTCCCCCAGCTCGCGGATGCTTTGTCACGGAACCCTCTTGCCAAATCCTTGGTTCAAACTGGTCTTCCCACTTTGGTCCTCTCGCTGTTGACCATCGCGGTGCCGTACCTGTACAGTTGTAAGTCACTCTTTGTTAGTCTTTATCGCTACAGGAACTGACCGGTTACTCAGGGCTGTCGCATCAGCAAGGCATGATGTCTCGCGGTGATATTGAGTTGTCCGTTATTTCGAAGACCTTCTTCTTCTCCTTTTTCAACCTCTTCCTTGTCTTTACAGTGTTCGGGACTGCAACAACATTCTTCGGTTTCTGGGAGAATCTCAGAGATGCATTCAAGGATGCCACCACCATTGCCTTCGCACTGGCCAAGACGCTGGAAAACTTCGCCCCTTTCTACATCAATTTCCTGTGTCTACAAGGTATAGGTTTACTGCCATTTCGTCTTCTGGAGTTTGGGAGCGTGGCGATGTATCCCATAAACTTTCTCACGGCGAAGACACCCCGCGACTACGCCGAGCTGAACACGCCCCCTGTGTTCAGCTACGGATACTCTATCCCACAGACGATTCTCAGCCTAATCATCTGTGTGGTTTATAGCGTCTTCCCCAGCTCGTGGTTAATCTGTCTGTTTGGACTGATTTATTTCACCATCGGCAAGTTCATCTACAAGTACCAGCTTCTCTATGCCATGGACCACCAACAGCATTCAACCGGGCGAGCGTGGCCCATGATATGTAGTCGTGTGCTGATGGGCTTGATCGTCTTTCAACTCGCGATGATTGGTGTCCTGGCATTGCGCCGAGCCATCACCCGCTCTTTACTCATCGTTCCCCTCTTGATGGCAACTGTGTGGTTCAGCTATTTCTTCTCGCGTAACTACGAGCCCCTGATGAAATTCATCGCGCTGAAAAGTATCGACCGTGAACGCCCTGGTGGAGGAGATATCTCGCCTTCTCCATCGTCGACTTTCTCGCCGCCATCTGGTCTCGAGCGTGATGCCTTCCCGATTCGAATTGGTGGTCAAGAACTGGGACTCAGGCTCAAGAAATATGTGAATCCGAGCCTCATTTTGCCCCTTCATGATGCTTGGCTTCCGGGACGCAGCACAGCCCCAGGATACCAGGAAGACTCTGGTGTCCAGGAGACGCCAAATGTCGCACCCGACGAGAGTGTCTAAGGCTTTCCGGGTCAATCCCATTCTGGCAGTATGCCTCGCATATCTCATCCATGCCTCCTGCACATACAATCTCCCTGTACCTTGTTTGTATTTCCACGGCTCGTCTCTCATTCCTCTCCTTGTGGATGACGCTTGATGATCTATGATGCTACGCCCACAATATCTACGAGATAGCCATATTCTCTGACTTTGAACTTTCATGTTATATGTATCGACCGCGCTTATAGACACGTTGTTGAGGTGGGGGGCTTTGTCCACAGTTCGTCAGCATGTCGTGCTTTTTTGTACATTGATCTCTCGTTTTATTGATACCAGGAGCTGTTGCTCGTCGAGAGCCATACTAATATGTAACACTATTTTGTGACCTGAATTTTGTTGATTATGATGAATGTAAAGAATGTATTTAAGTGTAAGCAGGCGGCTAATCTTGAAGCAAGTAGCGCCTTCCTTACTGAACCTCTCATTAACCACCGAATAACGTATCGTTTAGGAAAGTACCCAACCCTGCAGCGCGCAGTGCAAGCGCAGACCTCTTCAGAATTCGAAGCGATCCGTTGGAGTTATCTATGATATCTATACAGTTTACTTTAATTCTCAAGTATGTCCGATGGTTCATCTGACGATATTGATTTGACTGTCGCTAGACGCAGCCAAAAGTAAGCAAACTTACACTACCACTACTCACACTTCCCTCAGATCATACTCAGACTAACACATGTCAACCATGCGCGATCCGCTAGAAGACGTGACTTCCCCCACTACACATAATCCCACCCACAATCAATTCCATCACAACGTGACCAAACCTGAAGGGTATGTCCCAGCGAAGCAGTCCAAGTACGGTGAAGAGTGTGATTGTCACGAAGATATCCGCCGTCCTGGTCTCATTGTATACCAGTGACGAAGTCGTCAATAAGTCATTCGAACACTTTCAGAAGAGCACCGCAGAGGAACACTATACTCAAACCGACATTGACCCATCGGTACCTCCCATTGTCTTTCCCTTGAACCTTCCGATTAACCATCGCATTCTAATTGTTTTAATCGGTGGTAGAAACCTGGACCAAGCCCGAAGCTAGATTACTCTGAAGCGGAATTACATCACAGTCCCAAATGCGAGGTTCCCCAAGACGAGCAAACCCTCATAGACCTCGAAGTTCAACCGCCTATGGAAATGCCTGATAGTGAGAGCGGTAGACCGGTCAACAAGCGTGTGGCAAGGTGTATCTCCGATGCGGTAGATTGGGACGAGGATTTGAGACCCAGCAACGAGCCAGGCGAAGTGACGGCACACCAGAGCACTGAAGCGACTTCGGTTCCATCGCCCTTACCTGGGGACAGCTGTACCTTCAATGACGGCCACAAACCTCGTGGAATCACGAGTGCGTCAAAAGGGAAGCTGAGGCGGAAGAAGCCGTCGACTGGAAGACGTTCTACAACAGCCCAGCGGACTGTGTCGAAGAAGACCAACCCGAAGAAACGCGGAGCTCCTGTGTCTAATGAGGAAGAACAGGACGAAAAGCTTGGAACTCGACGAAAGAGGCTGATTGTGACCCTGCGCCATGTTGCTAGCCCACGGAATGCCGGCACCCAAGCTTCTCGGGCTCTTTTGGGAGATGAAGCGTCTGTTAATGCTGTGTCAAGCCCTGCGGCTGCGGACAAGAACCTCGAAACTCTTTTGTCCGACAAGGAGAACATGGACTCAATCCTGTCTATCATCCAGATCCCGAGGATTGACAGCAGTGACGGGATAGAGCTTTATTGCTCTGGCCTCCAAGGTGGGAACAGTGAAGACATAACAGCTCCTATGACCCGCAGTCAATCGCTCGAATATCGAGGACAGGAGGTGCAAGTTCACCCTGTTGAAGGGCCGTTCGCAGCATTATGTACGGTTGGTACGATGACAGACAAATCTCTTCAGAACAAGAGTGATGAACTCGAGAACTTGACAAGCAATGACAAGAGTCCTCCCGTATACCCCGAGTCAGGCATGGCATTCATGGAGGACACAGGCTGGAAAGCTCAAGAAATAGGTACTAAAATAACTCATCACGGAGTTATGTCTATCGAGCGTGAGCCAGAGGGGATTTCCAGCTCAAGAAGCACATCACCGTCCGTGACATCGGAAGAGACTCCTTCGAGAGAGCATCATACCCAATCGAGCTCTCAGGAGAGTCTAGGCGACGAGGCTGTCAGCATTTCCCCCTGTTCCCTCCAAAGGACTCCTAGAAACACGATAGTCGATACCAATGGAAGTCCCCGCCTCCTTTCAGAGAAATATAAGGAACATTACAAGACACAGACACTTGTTCTAGGGGACGTGGCATCCTTGCCTGAGTCCTACAGAGGCCATGCGGCCGGGGAAGGGCCAGCTTCCTTTGCTAACCGGCTGAAATTATGCGCAGCTATAGATAACCGGCCGGAAATATCCGGACCTATCCAGAATACTGCCGTGCAGAAAATGCTGCTGGAGACTAGCGAGGTGGGTCCAACACTCTACGAGCGCGGAATTACGGACGAGTATTGCTTGTGCTGACTGCGGTGATTGTGCCAAGTCTTTGAACCGCCACATCGAGAGCGAGAACACTACTATAAGCGAGGTGTTTGAGTCATTCCGGAAGAGCTGCCATGACATGCTTGACCAGCTCTCAGAAGCTCAGGAGGCACGGATTAAATTATGCCAGCAACAGATGGAAGGTATTCGCAAACATCATTCCAAGATCTGCGAGGAACTGGTTCACCGGATGGAAAGAGATGAGAAGCGATTTCAGAAGCTCCTCGGCATCAATTAAACTTCTAGATATGGTTTCAAGCGATCTTGCATAAATATGGCATCTGACGTCAACAAGAAGTTCGCGATGGAAGAGAAGCTTTGATCTTACATATTCAGCTACTTCTGCCAATTAGAGTCGACGATGGTGAGGCAATTGACAATTTATGAGTATCCCATTCATGCCCGCTGCCACATCGAGTAATGGACAGTCTGTTCATCCAGTTTCAAGTTGATGGAGTTCACCGTACATCCAGTCTGGAATGCCGTGCCTCATGGAAGTCATGGGTCAGTCACCCGAAATGGTAGGGAGCAACAATAGGACCCCTGTGACTGTGGACGCCTGGTTTCCAGAAGCGACCCTAAGTAGAAAACGCTCTCAAGCACCAGTCTTACTGCAAATCGATCGTATTTGCTACCAGCATCAGCTAGCATCGGGAAAAATGGATCAACGACGGCAATTGAGTAGTGATTGACTACTGCAGTGAGCTCTGTGCAGTACAGCTGCAGCACGCACCTGGCAGTGTGTGGTGTATTCCAGGGGTCGCAGCCAATGGGAAGGACAGTGTTGGGCATTTGTCCGCTCACCGAAGTCACGTGGATCGAAGGATTATGACTCGAATGGAAATGCGCCCGCCGACTTAGGAGGCCAGCCCAAATGCGAGTGACGAGGTTTTGCCCCTCTCCCAAGAACAATCAGGTTTGACAATTTCTTATAAGAGGCGCATTGAACTGGCCTTCAATTGAACTACAACTCGGCTGTTTTGGCACAATTGACTCCCTAGGTCAATCTTTTTTTCTCTCCATCTTAACCTTGGTTGCTCTCGTTTGAATCCACTCTATCATCTCCCTTTCCTTCTTATAGTTCATCGGGCATACTATCTGCCTATCTCTCTCTCTATCGCCATCTCATCCCACCCCGCCGCCGCCGCCGCCCACCATGTCGGTGAGTCACCTGCAGCCATCCTCGATGTTTCCGATTCCATGCTCATCAAACCCATCCAGTTCTTCATTGAAAACCCCAATGTCGGAGACAGAACTTCCTTGGAAGACTCAAGAAGTATGTGTGCTCCCCAGTTTATCCATTTTTCATGCCATTGTTACTAACGACTTGCGTTCTTCCACCCCAGTTCGCGGATACAACCCCCTTACTCCCCCCAACCTTCTTCAACATGAGATCGCCTTGACGGATAAGTCGAGACAAACGGTCCTCGAAGGCCGTGAGGAGGCCACGGCTATCGTTCAAGGCACGGACACCGACCGGCACCGCTTGATGGTCGTCATCGGACCATGCTCGATCCACGACCCGCAAATGGCCCTCGAGTACTGCGATCGGCTGTTGACGTTGAAGGAGAAGTACAAGGACGAGCTGCTGATTGTCATGCGCTCCTACCTCGAGAAGCCCCGGACTACTGTTGGCTGGAAGGGTCTGATCAATGACCCGGACATTGACAACAGCTTCAAGATCAACAAGGGTCTGCGCGTCTCTCGCCAGCTCTTCGTCGACCTCACCAACAAGGGCATGCCGATTGCCAGCGAGATGCTCGATACCATCTCCCCGCAGTTCCTGGCCGACTGCCTGTCGGTCGGAGCCGTGGGGGCTCGCACCACGGAGTCGCAGGTCCACCGGGAGTTGGCCTCGGGTCTGTCCTTCCCCGTCGGGTTCAAGAACGGCACCGATGGCTCGCTGGGTGTGGCGGTGGATGCCATTGGCTCCGTCAAGCACCCCCATCACTTCCTGTCCGTCACCAAGCCCGGTGTCGCCGCCATCGTCGGCACCGTCGGCAACCCGGATTGCTTCGTCATCCTCCGCGGTGGCACCAAGGGTCCCAACTACGACGCGCAGAGCATCACGGAAGCCAAGGCGAAGCTGGCGGCCCAGGGTCTGCCGCCCCGTCTGATGGTGGACTGCAGCCACGGCAACTCGCAGAAGAACCACAAGAACCAGCCCAAGGTCGCCGCTGTTCTGGCTGAGCAGATCGCCGCGGGCGAGACCGCTATCATGGGTGTGATGATCGAAAGCAACATCAACGAGGGTATGTAGGATCTTTGTTGTTGGCTGGTTCGTTTTGCTAATGCTTTTTTCTTTTTTCTTTTGGCAGGTAACCAGAAGGTCCCTCCCGAGGGCAAGGCCGGCCTGAAGTACGGTGTCAGTATCACCGACGCCTGCATCCACTGGGAAGATACGGAGCTGGTGCTGGAAAACCTGGCCCAGGCGGTGCGCGCTCGCCGAGAGAAATTGACCTCTTCTCAGTGAGCGGCTCTCGCCCGGGTTTCTGTATTGTTCTGAGGTACGACTCTAATTGGTTTGGGGAGCGTGGTTAAACACAAAAGTGATCTACGAGTTTCTATTGTATTGGATCTTTTTCTACGCCCTTGCGGCGGGTAATAAGCTAGGTAATGAATATCAATGAATACTATCTTGAATGGCTCGTCCACGTGGACAGTGTAGCAATTTCTTTAGCCAGCGCCACGTACCCATGCCTACTGCACTGCCCCTATGTGTCCTCCGATGCGGACTGGGCTTGGCGGAGGTAAGCTAGCTAGACAGTATCTTAGCCTAATTCCCAAGCATTGAACGAGTATTCACTCGACAAAAAAGTCGACGACAACGACGCGATTTGAACGCGCGCGGGCGAACCCAACAGCTTGCAGTGCTATCAGATAGCATTCGAGGCTGTCGCCTTAACCACTCGGCCACGTTGCCTTGATGAAGACAAGAAGGCTGCGCTTGCAATTATAGGGTAAGGGAAGGTGCCTGTGCCGATGCTTGCCCGACATTCATGAAGTATAGGCAAGTCTGCGAATAGGAACTTTCTGACGGTGAGGCAGGCAATAGAGCTTTGACGAACCCTCCTTGCGGTGGAAGAGTAGCCCATTGCGCAGTGCCTTAGAGGTAAAGAAGGCGCCTCGGAGCACCGACACATCGTTGGGTACGTTGGCAGTGCGCATTGGCATAGATCATAGACCAGATGTTTAGTGGAGATTGATTCGGGATAATACGTAAGCTGAATTAGCATAGAGGAGTGGAAAGCGATGAAGTATGCCCCATTATGGCTCATGATGGGGGAGATCCGATAAGATCTAATCTCCGCGATGCCCGCAGGCACCGAGAGCTACTATACACGGTACGGAGTACTATTACTGCATTCAACGGCGGGATTGCGCCATCCACTACCCGTTCGTTGCTGCTCTATGGTCACTGGTAAGGGACCATGAGCTTATATCAGAGCCGCATTGTTGGTGATGCTCAAGGGGAAAGAATACCCCATCTCAAAACCAAAGAACAGCAGCAGCAGCAGCAGCAGTTGCAGTTGCAACTCTCTCACCCACCGGGAATAAGAGAGTATTGGTAATCAAACCCCCGGCTGGTCGAGGATCCGTTCCGATAACCCCGGCTTCGCCAACAACGACCAACCGAGCGACCCAAAGACCGAAACCTGGTTTCGAAGAGTTCCACCAGATATAAATCCATCATGTTGCTCACGGGCTGCCAGCAGGTCATGTCCATGGTTGTGGAGGTTGCGAAATTGGTCTCCAAGCGTTACACCGATCCCATTGATTGAGTTTCAGCGTCATTGTCAAGTGTCGGTCTCGCAAGGCGCTCGATTGTACATTCCTACAACCGCGGAGTATTCCTACAATGGTTCACAGGGATACTTCAGACATGGACGATGCACCACAGCAGCAGCAGCAGCAGCAGCAGCCCAGCTCCCTCACCACAACCACCATGACGAACCTCTCTCTCAACAGAGACGCCCACCTCGCCGAGAAGCTGGCCGCGCTACAAGCGCACGGCGTCAGCGCGCAATCGCTCCCTACCTCCGACGACTCCATCCTCTACCTCGCCTACGGCTCGAACCTGAACTCGGAAACCTTCCTCGGCATGCGAGGCATCCGCCCTCTGTCCAGTACGAACGTTGTCGTGCCCAGTCTGTGGCTCACCTTCGATCTACCGGGAATCCCTTACGCGGAGCCGTGTTTCGCGGCAACGAGATACCGTCCGGGTGCTGCCGAGGGCACCGAGGATAGGGGATATCACGATGAGGAGGGCGTCGCAAATGTCCGCAGCGACACGGACTACGCTCCACCGAAGGAAACAGACCCCTCCCTGCCCCTCCTCGCCACCACCACCACCACCCCCACAGACGGAGAACCAGACTACAGCCCGCGCATGCCGCTCGTCGGCGTCGTCTACGAGGTCACCCTGTCCGACTACGCGCGCATCATCGCCACCGAAGGCGGCGGCCGCGGCTACATCGACACCGTGATCGACTGCTACGCCTTCCCCAAGACCTATAATCCCCAAACCGACCCGGTCCCCGAGCACCCCGGCACTGTGCCCTTCCAGGCACACACGTTACTTTCCCCTGGTGCGGCTGCTGCGGCTGCTGCAACCGCAACCCCCCTCACACCGACAACCTCCAAATCCACCCGCCCCAACCCCTTCTACGCCCAACCCTCAGCCCGCTACCTCGGCCTCATCCGCGCCGGCGCCGCCGAGCACAACCTCCCCCGCGCCTACCGCGCCTACCTGGCCGGCATCCGGCCGTACCGGATCACGACGCGGCGGCAGCGGGTCGGGCAGGTCGCGTTCCTGGCGGCGTGGGGGCCCGTGGTCATGGGGCTGATCGGGCTGGGCCGCGCGCTGGCCGGCCCGGATGGTCGGCATCCGGGCTGGTTGGTGCGGGCGCAGGACGCGGTGTTTGGGGCGATGTGGCGGTCGTATGATTCGTTTTTCGTGAGGGTGTTTGGGGATGGGGAGCGGACGGTTGGGTCTGCGGTTGTGGAGGGGGAGGATGGAGATGGAGGTGGAGATGGGGTGGTCGGGGTGGGGGTGGTGGTAACAGAGGGGGAGGGGGTTTGTTGAGATGCTACCGTTCGCTATGAGAATGCAGGTAGTTACTAGCTAGAGAGGGTCACTTGCTAGAGGTCATGATATGAGGCATAATGTAATGATGTGGGCTGGGGTTGAGGGGGGAATAGAGGTATTGGTTGGTGCTCTAGATGCATGGCTTCAGTATCGGAAAGAGCATTCTAGTACTCCGTACATGTCTCAATGGTCACCATACATACAATGAGATGAGCAGCGGATACCTGGCTCCCGCTCTTTTTCTACATGTTAAAAAATGAAAGCGAAAGCAAGGGAGAAGAAAGCCTATATACCACATCTGCCACAGCCACAACCACACCCACCCCCACAGCACACATTTACTATCCATACCGAAAATCACGATCCGAATCAAAACATAAGAAATTGTGACATTGCGGGGGGAACCTTCAAAAAAAAACATTTTCAAAGGAGAATAAATATCTAGGATACAAGATACAGGTGTCCTGTGGAGTAGGTAAAAAAACAACAAACACACACTTCTAACGAAACATAAAGCAGAAACCACACCGAATAAACGTCCGTGAAACAGCACAAGTCTTTGCAGCGGGGAAGAGAAAAAAACACGTGAGGACGACTCCCAGGTTTGTTATGATACAGGCATTTATATCAAGAAAGCTTTCGCCCGTCGCCGAAGTTGTTCTTTATTTTTTTTTCTTTATCTCCCTTTCTGGCAGCCTCCCAATTTCACTTGGTTTGAAGGTTGTTTGGCAAACATTTCTAGGGTGGTTCCGCTTTTTGCGAGGCCTCTCCTCTTCTAGCGCCGGGAAACGGGGGGGCTGTACACGATCTTTCTCGTCTTAATCGGGGACCACTTGTAACGCTTGACCCAGACGCTCAGGGCGAAGAGACCGGTCAGAAGGGTGATGGCCTTGACACCCATCTTCTTGCGGTCGTCCATCTCGGGCTCGGCGGCCCAGTTGAGGAACTCGACGACGTCCTTGGCCATCTGGGAGGTGGTGGCGGGGGTGCCGTCCTCGTACTCGACGACACCGTCGAAGAGAACACGACCCATAGCAATACCTGGATTTTCAGCGGTCAGATGGGAGTCTTCGGTCAATCAGAGTGTTCGGTTGTATACATACCGGTACCGGGGAAGTAGGGGTTGAAGTTCATGCCCTCACCGAGAACAACACCAGCTGGGGGCTCGTCGGGGTAGCCAGTCAACAGACTGAAGATGTAGTTGCAGCCACCGTGACGGCCCTTGACGATCAAGCTGAGATCCGGGGGTAGAGCACCACCGTTGGCAGCACGGGCGGCCTCCTCGTTGGGGTAGGGGGCGGGGATGTAGTCGGACAGCTTTCCGGGGCGCTTCTCAATCTCACCCTGGTCGTTGGGCTCGGTGTCGTACTCGTACTCTTCGGCCATGGCCTTCATCTCATCGACGGTGTGGAGGACACCGACGAACGAGCGCCAGGGCACACGAGTCAGGGAGTGGCAGCTGGCGCAGACTTCACGGTAGACCTGGAAACCACGGCGGAGACTGTATTTTGAACACAAAAGAATCATATGAGCACAATTGCCGGAGTTGCGGGAGTTGCCAGTGAGGTCCATGGTGGGCTCCCCGGTGTCAGAATAACAGGCAAAGAGGTTACTCACGCGGCGTGATCGAATGTCTTGTTCCACTTGGCGTGCTCCCAAGGGTATGCGGTAGCGTGCAGACTGGATTTCGATGCTGTTAGCTTTGTGGTGGTGTGATTGGCCGGGTTAGGACGAGCCATCGTTCCGGGGCAGCGGAGCTGGTCTGGTCGACGGCCAATTCTGAATTCTTTCTAGAGTGTTACTCACCCCTCCTCAGCAGGCGTCATGGCGTGAGCCTCTTGGCCATAGAGATAGGCGGCCGATCCGATAGCGACGGCGGTGGCGGCCGAGGCAGTGAGTGTGAGGTTGAAGGGGGAGCTGGCGGATTCGGGACCGGCGGCAGAGGAAGACGCACGCTGGTCAGCAAGTTAGTCAAAGGCTCTTGCTGAAGAATTGGTGATCGATTGCACATCGATTGACCTCATGGCATGGGGTCAATTGGCGTCCAAGCCCGGGAATAGCGTACCGTGGAGGTCTTGCTCAAGGTCTGACGTGCGACACCCCGGAAGGGCACGCTGCGCAAAACAGTACGGCCCAGCATACTGACGATATGTATAACCCTCCGAACGATGGGTAATTAGGACGGCACAATAGCCACAGAAGGGGTGGTGGTGGGGGAGGAGGAGAGGGAGGGGGGGAGGGGACAAGGCTGGAGCGCAGTGGGAGAATGTGCTTTTGGAGGTTCAATTGAAGTCGAGGTTGGTCGAACGGGTCAAGTTTCTCTTGGGCTTGGAATTGCCTAAACCCTGCCGCTGATTGGCTGCTGGTCGGCTGCTAACTGGCTTCGGTGAAAACCGCGACTTTTCGGAACAACCAATTTTCGAGGCCGGCCGGCACCATTTGGTCTGATGCACTGCACTCCCTCACTCAGCTTCCTCAAACCACTACTCGATTTAATACTATTGGGGGCATGACAAAACTCCTTAATGCTGTTCTTTCTTCCCCCCATACCTCCATCCCCTGGTCTATGGCCCTCAATGGCTCTGGATCCCTCGCCTTGCCTCCTATTCGCCTCACTGGCTTGGTTTTAATCCATCGGCTCTCATTGGTTAGTCATCTTCTCCGCCGCGATGCCCTTTCTCAGCGCATCAATGGCCTGGCGAATATCGCTCCTTCCTTCCTCGCCATACATTACTAGCGATAGAATGGGCAGTCGACGAACTGTTCGGCCGCTTAGTCCCTACGTTGAGAGTTGAAGTCACGGGTCAGCGTGGTGTTCACTAAATTCCCACCAGAGAATGCACTGACCAGACTCTCCGACACCGCCTCCGCCAGCAGTGTGGGAGCGGCCTCTGGAAACATCGGGTAGTTGACAATCATCTCATCATACGTCGGTAACATGAGCTGCTCGGCCGGCTCTTCCATGTACGACAATCGCGTTTGAGGATCATCCGGTTGAAGGAGTTTCACGTCAAATGCGGCCCCTTCGATGATACGGTTACGACTCATCTCCTCGAGGCAATCTTTGTAGATGCGATAAATCGATCGGCTGGATAAATTCGGTACACATTGCTTGATATCGACTCGGTCGAGAAATGCCGGGTCCTACACAAGACGACGATGCTTATCAGCCGCTTTTATATTGTGCTATAGTTGCATGCTTACCAGGGCAGTCAATAAGTTGCTCGTGCAGACCACAATCACATTTGGATGGGCCTTGATTTTGTCGAGGCCTGTCAACAGAGCGTTCACGGCTCGGATGGCATCAAACGGTTCGTTGCTACTCAAAGCTCGATCTCTGCGGGCAGCGAGCGTCTCGATTTCATCGATGAATACGCAGACCAGCGTTTCGTCTTCCTCTTCAAGCAGCAGATCTATGCGCTCAAATATCTGATCCACTAACTTCGCTCCCTCGCTGAAGAACTTACTCCCTAGCGCATGCGCGTTGATCTCGAACATTTTACTCTGGGGATAGTCTTTCCCCAGGCGTATTGCGAGCTTCTGAGCTAGACCGCGGCTGGGATGCTTTTAGTGTTTGGACTCATGGTCACATGCTGGAACGCACCACAAGCTTGTTTTACCGGTCCCAGGTGGCCCCCATAGGAGAACCAGCTTGTTCCAATTAATAGTCCATCTGTCGAGCTTGCAGGCAGAGAATGAGACTAGATGTCTGTAATTAAGAAATCACGGAACGTATGCCTGTGTCGTAGATCACTTACGCATTCTGCTTATAGCAGTAAGGAGCGTTGACTGTATAGGCTCATCAAAATGCAAGCTATCAGGCATAGATTAGACCCGCGCGGGAGCATGGAGCTGGAGTTGGGGTAGAGCTTCCGTACGATTCCCAGAGTCCATTCAGATCTGAGTTGGGAAGTGCCATGATCTTCGCCCTCGTTGAGTTCATATAATTCTCGGTGTGACCATTGAGTGTCTGGGCGAGGTGAGGGTCCTCGGACTCCAGTGGTGTATGGAGCTGATATGCTTGAACATCCAACCTCACCTGGTCCAGGGGATATGCTCCGGACTCCATGGTACCACCGGTGCACTCGCAAACGAGCACGGAATCCAGAGCCTGAGCGTGGGAGCTACTCAGCCCATCTGGTCAACGATCAGCAGTCTTGTCTGGATGCGTTGGCTGCGGTTGACTTGCCGAAAGAGACGATCTCATGTCCGAGGGAGAGAACCACGAATTTGTCAGTCAGCCACTTGGTGAGTTCGTCTCGGATCTATTCAGGGGTCAGAGCGGGGAACTGTCGAGTCTCTTGGTTGCCTACTAAGTCCGTGCGGATGATGATGCCGTCATTGTTGGTCTTGACACGAGCTTCAATGTGAAGAACTGGCTGTTGCACTTCCATCGTACGTGAGATGCAGCTGGTCGAGCCCATTTTCGGCTCAAGATCCTGTAGTACTGGTGACACATGCAGCACCATTCATTGATAGGCGGATATGAAGTACAGTAGAGTTGAGATGCTCGTGGTTCAAGAGAGTCGACGAAAAGAGCAGGTCCTCGGCATACTAGGTAGCTTGGGGCACCTTCTAGGCCCGAAACTGTCCGTAGCTCAATGTCTTCTCTCTACAATCCCAACATCCAATTACTTTCCAATCACTACCGTTTCATCCTTGATGTTTCAGAGCATGGGTCTCAAGAACCAAAGGTTGGGGTACCAGCAAGGAAGCTGACCGTTCCTAAGCAGAACACCTAGTAGTACACTAAATTTATATACATCCTCGATGTTTTGGGAATCACGACTGGATCATAATTGATGGGAAGTACTTGACTGTGTTTGAGTCATTTTTCCAGATCTAGAACAGATACCCGCTAATTGATCTGAGCTCGCTTGCATTAGGTGAGGTCACTATCTACAAGTGACGACGTCAATTCATGTTGATGCTGTTGGTTTGATAAAACATGATCGAACCGGCGGCTTGGGTCGGAAGGGAAAAACATCCGGCTGATCCATTCCCATAGCCCGTTTTCTGGGGTTGGCGGTTGACACGGACCGTTGAGAGTGCCAATAGGTGCTCACAACCTCTTTATTTAATACAAAGCAGATCTTCTTTTCACATGCGCAGCCGTACAGGTGCCTTATCAACATTATGATACCCGGGCTACCGTGGATTTGAGCTCAACCTTATCGTGACCTGAATTTGGGGCCGCCCCGCGGAGGAGCGAACTACTTACTACTAGTAGCTTCTTGGTGGGCACCGCCCACTGGGACCCTGACCGACTTGCCCGGCCGGACTTCAGCTGCGCCGGTGCTCACTGAACCACAATTCATATCCCGATGCCAAATCGCAGTTGATCAAGATGCAGAACGCCAGGAATGGGCCAGGAAACAAACAGAAGCCCCGCAGAGATGTTTTGGCTTCACTCAGAATGGCCTCCATGGAGGAGATCTCCAGGGCGGCCCTTCCAGCAGGTATGGCCCATAAGCTGCGGCTTTAGCCAGAGATCCAGAATATGTTTGCTTGGGATCCTAATGTTGACCGATCGCAATGCAGAGATCATGTCGTCCATCCTTGATTATCTCTCCCCCGTCGACCTCATCCGAGTCGCTCGGTCGTCGAAACTCTTGCGCGAAATGGCGTACGATGATACCAGATGGGTGCAGAAGCTGAAACAGATCGGGTGCTGGGACGAATTGGAGGCTCGCAAACATGTTGAAGACACCTTTGGAACTATAGCCGACATGAAAACCATCGAGCACAAAGAGGCGGTGGATCTCCAGGAAGCAATCGATGCGACTCAGCGCAAATCTGACCACGCCTTGAGTTCGCTCGCGGATGGCTTCGACCAAATACAACTGTCTGCCCCTGCTGTTGCCAATGTCAAGGATGATTCAGAGGACGATCCGGTCTTGGGTGTGTTGAGACAGGTCAAATCAGTGCGCGGAGAAGCTCGTCAAGAGTATGGAAAGATACACGCGGCGTTGGCACCATACTATAATGATATTGTCACATTAGGAGCTTCGGCCGACAGTCTACTGTTTCGAGACTACAGCAATCCGCAACACCAGGCACAGATACTTTCTCAGTTGCAGGCGTTCGCCAACTGTGATTGTACCGACGGTTGGCATGAACGAACCCAACAGCTGCAGTCAGCTGTGTCGGCCTTCGAAACAAACGCGGTCAAAGAGTTTCGACACGGCTATGAGACTGAAGACATCGAAAACAGAATGCGGGAATACGCCCATGTGCTATATACGTTGAACGGTGGTGGCGCAGCAATCGAGCTCTTCATTCACCACAACCACCTGGTTACGCGCAAATCGGATTTTGGAAGTGTGACCGACTGTATCGACACTTTCGCTGGAAGTGTCAAGCTGGAACATACCCAGGCTTTCTTCACCCGGATGAGTGTCGCCTACAACGAGGAGGTCTCAATTATAAACCGTGCTTTCCCCCCGCAATTACAGGTCAGCACGCCATTTATCGAAAAAGTCGGACAAGACGTACTGTTCCCATACTTGACAGCTGTCTTCGACGAATTACATCGCACGAACATTGAGTCTTACCTCACAGCGGTTTCGGGAACCTTCGCACAATGTCTCAATCTATCGGATACACTGCTGCCCATTCAAAACTCGCCCGATACATTTGACGAGTTCTTGCAGCACGTTATTGCGAAAACATATGAACCTCACCTGGATCTGTATTTTGCAGAAGAATTAGACCATTTCCGGAAAAAGTCTGAAGCAGCAGTCGGGGAATGGGATCGGCAACTCTCAGAGCAGGCTGCATCAACTGAGCTGTTTCTGATGTCCAACATCAACCGACAGGCTGACAAACGGGACTTTCTGACCTCGTTCAAAAAAGTGATCATGGCGCCCGTCAACATCCTCCCCAGCTTTTCAGGGAGCAAGACAACGGAAACCAAGTCGACTCCAGACCCCTCTCCTGATGATGCGTCATCTTTGAAGAGCCCAAACCGATTTTCCACGATCGGTTCACCTGCCACACCTCCAGTGATGGAAGCACCGACTACAGAACTTGCAGCAAAGGCTGCAGTAATGAAATCCAAGCTAGAAGGAATTCGATCTCTCTTCAGCATTGAAATCGCTCTAAGCCTTGTGCACGCCGCGAAATCCAGCCTAGAACGAGCTGCGCAATTTGTCAGCATAGGGGGTGAATACGGAAGCGCAGCCAAGCAGCAGTGCGAGGCTATTTTCGTTGCTCTAGTGCGCATTCTTGGGCACCGCCATCTGATCGGCGGCTTTGACAAGGCTGTTAGCCATCTATCCAATTATCGGCCTCGCGAACAGGGAGAACGGGACCAGTCCGGAGTCGAGCCGTTGGTGACTTTTCTGGAGTTGGTCAATGTTGGCGATCTGATCTTGCAGATGATCGATGTTTTCTACGAGCAGGAGCTTGTTGGCGCTAAGTTAACCGATCGGAACGACTTCCTTGATCCGGCCGTCAAGGAAAAGAAGAAGTTCGAGCAGAACCTCGATGAGCGGGTGGCTGCTGGACTGAACAAAGGCATTGACGTGCTTATGGAGGAAGTGGATTATATCCTCGCGACACGACAGTTAGCGACAGACTTCAACCCCAGTGTTTCCCAGGACCCGTATCGAAAGACGATGGATGTGAACATCACTGAGGCGGCGGCTGCCGTAGTAGATGTGGTATCTTCGCATACCCAGATGCTTGTGGGCAGTACGGATAAGAGCATGCTGGATGTCTTCAACCAGGAGGTTGGACTGCGGCTTTTTGCCGCTTTGTGCAAGCACCTCAAGCGACAGCGGATCAGCATCGAGGGATCCTTGAAGCTTATCAGGTAAGCGCTCTCCCCTGTTTCAAATCACACCGTTGAACACAGCTGACACCCTCTCAAGCGACATGACCCACTATTTCAAATTCATCCAAGGGTTTAAGAACCAGGATCTCCTGATATATTTCAAGGCGCTACGGGAGTTGTCTCAAATCTACCTGATCGACTCGTCCGATGCCAAGGAGTTAGCCACCATCATCGCTGATGCGGATCGATTCTATGGGATCTGGCGGGTGGAGGAAGTGTACGAATTCGCCGAGCGACGAGCAGACTGGTTGCTGGTCAAGCGGGACGTGGAACGAGCCATGTATGGCATTGGATGTAGTGTTATGTGAACCACGAATATACCATGTATATAGAGAGCCATGAATACCCTTATTGAGAACCTATGAGTAGTTAATTTGGATCGTCAGGTAGCATCCGGGACGGTCCGAAGGGTCGATCCTCTAGTTATTCTAGATCTACCCTTAGTCATAGACCCTGCTTCTTCAAGGCGCCGTTGCATCATGCACTCATAATGTATCGGAATACTGAGAGAGTCTCTCCGTTTCAGGGTGTATCTTTGGTCTGGGCCTGTCACCTGGCAAGCCGTCACAAACCCTGTTTTTGAAACCTGAGAACATTGAGCAAGCGAACAATTGGTGGATTGACATCTCGACCTGCATACTTTGACCCTCTCTCTCTCTCTCTCTCTCTCTTTCTCTCAATGCAGCCCTTTTCTATCTCATCGTTACGACCTAAATAAACCACCATGACAGTAACCTGAATGACAACTGACCACCAAGATGACCACCAACAACCTACTCCCATCCACAACAAGATCAGCCATAACCACCACCACCACTCTCCATTGGCTCTACATCACCATCACCATCCTCCTCCTCCTCACGGCCCTAAGCGCCGCCGACCCCGCCCTCACCCAGCAAGCCACGACCATCATCGTCGTCACAGTGACTGCCACCACCGTCGCGACGCCCACCGTCCCCCACCCACCCTCCTACACCTCGCTCGACCTCTTCGCCAACACCATCCTCAGCGTCACCAACTCCTACCGCCAAGCCCACAACGCCAGCAACCTCATCTGGAACAAGAGCTTGGCCGAGTACGCGAAGAAATGGGCCGAAGGGTGTAGATGGGCGCATTCGGTAGGGACACACGCCCCTCTGCCCGCCTTTCCCCCCCACCCCACAGCATCTAAACCCGGTTACACAAAGCTTTATTACTAAAGAAAGTGGTATAAAAAAAAGCACGGCCCCTACGGCGAGAACCTAGCCTTTGGGTTCCCGAACGCCTCGGCCGCCGTCGCCGCCTGGGGCGACGAGGGCCTGCGCTACAACTTCCGGGACCCGACGGGGTTCACTGAGGAGACGGGCCACTTCACGCAGCTGGTGTGGCGGGCGACGACCGAGGTGGGCTGCGCGGCGGTGGACTGTGGGGTGGATGTGAATGATGGGAAGGATTCGCAGGGGACGAAGAATGGGGATACTGCCAACAAGAATGGCAGCAACAACGGGGAAGGCATCAATGGCATCCAGCGGCCGCAGGGCTGGTACGTGGTGTGTGAGTATACGCCCCCGGGGAATGTGATCGGGGGCAATGAGAAGCTGGGCGATAAGGCGTTCTTTCGCATCAATGTGCAGGCGTCGAGTACGTATTCGGGGCCGTGGCAGACCGCCGGCAATAGTGGGGGGAGTAAGACTTCCGTTGCGTCGAGTACGTCGGGAGCTGCTGCTGCTGTTGCTGCTGTCTTAAGGGGAAAGAGTTGGCGGTGGGTTGTTTATGGGCTTGTTGTTCTGGGGTCTGGGGGTCTGGGTCAGTGGGTGGTGGATTATCTGGTTGTTTAGTCTATATTTTTGTTGCAGGTCTGAAAGGAAGCACTAATCACTTAATCATAGTTGCAAGAACTGCTTTGAGTTTCATCATTGTCTGTCATCTCTCATACTACCGAACGTCACGCATATCATTTAATCTCCCCCACACGCTTGAGGGTAAGTGAAATATGCAATACAGATCTATTCGCTTTTTTTTTCTTTTGGTTTCGATGTTCCAGCAAAAAGTCTGCTCCCCACTGCTTTTGCGATCTGGAACCGAGCCAAAGGGCGTATCATGGGAGGAAGCTCACAGGAGGAAAGTGTGGAAACTTCGAAGAGAGAGGGAGAGGTAGAGGGAGGAAAAAATGGAGGAGGATATCGACAGACAAGATGCAGGAATGGAAGAAAGAGAAAAAATGGGAAATGGGATGGAAATGGAACACATTAAATACGGAAAAAAAGGAACCCCAATCAACCAATGATCTCCTCGCTCTCCTCGATAATCTCCTCGACAATCTCCTCGACAACGGTGTCGCCCTGTTCGTCGGAGACCGCGGAGGCATCCTTGGCCAGCTTGGGAGTATCGGCCTCCTCGGGAAGGCCGTAGGCCTCGCGCTCTTCGGCCAAGAGCTCCTTCTCCCGACGCATCCAGGCAACCCACTCGTTGAGAACGCGCTTGCGCGTCTCCACCACCGCGGTGTTGGCAATGTCGACAGCGTACTTGTCCTCCTCGTCGAACTCCTTGGAGTATTCGCGCAGGTTCTTGCGCACCTGCTTCTGCTCCTCCTTGCTGAGAAGAGTGGGGGGGCGAGGGCGCCAGACGAACTGCTTGAACTTTTCGGTCGGGTTCTCGGAAAGGGTCTGACCGGCGAAAGTGTGGATGTTCCAGCCGTTTTCCATCTACAGGTACAATTAGCAACGGTGTCTCAGCGAGTGCGAAGGGGTTCAGATTAGAAGATGAACATACCGAGTGAGTCCACACACTAGCACTGGTGACAACGTAACGACCGGTGGGATCCCAGTCGATGTCCGTGACACCGTAGTGCTCGACCGTCTTCATCAGTTGAAGGTTGGCAGCCAAATCCTTCTCACCCTCGGGCTTCTCACCCTCGAAATCCATATCCCAGAAATCAATGTCGAAGCTCGATTGAGAGTGAACCGTGGCAACAACAACGAAGCGACCCTTGGGCGACCAGTAGATGGCGTTGCTCGTCTTCTTCTCAATGGTGCGCACAAGCTTGAAGTTACCGGCCGAAACACCCTTCTTCTCGGGAGCGAAGAAGGAAACAGCCGTCTTAGGGGGAGCGCCAGCACCGCCGGCAGCCTCACCGTTCGTGATGAGAACGAAACGTCCTCCATTCGGCTCCCAGGCGAAGTTGATCACGGTATCCTTGAGACTGTCAACAACCTCGACCGGAACACCCTTCTCGCGAATGCGGAAAATCTCCAGGTTGGTGGCCATGGACTTCTTGGACTTGGAGTGACGATCCACCTTCACACAGACGTAGGTACCTTGTGATTGCCAGTGCAGCTTGACATCGGAGACGTTGAAAAGGTTACGGGTACGAACGATTTCTTTCGAAGGAACGCTCATAAGGGCGACACGAGCGGGGTTGCTGCCGATTTCGGGAGTCCAGAAGCAGAGCAGCTGTTCGTATTGCTTCACGCCCTCGCGGTTAACGGTGGCGGGGGACCATTCGAAGTCCATAACACCATCGATCTTGACGGAGGTCTTGCCCAGCAAGTTCATCCGGGGAAGTTCGTAGATAGAGATCGATTGGGATTGCTGCATTCTCGCAACGTACTTCTCATCAGCAGACCACTTGAAAGCGGGCCACTGAACCTTCTTCTTGGGCTGGGCATCACCCTCGGCACCAGGGCCAGCAGCGAGATCGTTGGAAACGAACGAACGCAGGGGCTTTCCGGTAACGATATCCCAGATGATGATGTTCTTTCCTTCTTCCTCGTAGGTCAAAACAGGGTGACCCTCCTCAACCTGAATGGGGCGCGCGGACCAGGTGGTGAGATAGTTCTCGCCGGGCGAGAACTCGACCAACTGCACAAAAGGGTGAGGGAACTGCTTTTGCTTCGAGAAAGCCGGGCCACCCCAGAGTTGAATACCCTGAGGGTGGACAGAGGCGAGGTAGGTACCCTTGGGGGACCACTGGACGAACAGCTGCGTCCAGTGGGCACGATCGACAACATTCTCGGGCGGGTGGTTCTTGTTGTTCCAGAAGACGCCGACCTTGTCGCCGCGGTAGAGGGCGAACTGGTCACGAGCGTTGGGGTCGGCGAGCCACGAGCGGAGGTGCTCCTTCTCCTTAAAGGGTTCGATAGTGGGGGGCTTGTATTCCTCGTCGACACGTCCTTCACGACCGTAGCGGTCAATATCCATCAGTTTGTTGACAGCGAGAGTGTGCTTCTTGTCGAGGGGGACACCGTGCAGGGCCTTCACGGCAGCGACGGCTTGTTCGGGAGTCTCATATTCGACGAAGGCGAAACTGCGACCCAACGTTAATTTTTCCCTGCTGCAGTTCCAGCCCGAGTTCCCAGTACATACCCTTCGGACATATTCTTGTCGTTGATGGGCATGAAAACAGCATCTTCGGAGGTGTTGCCGGCGGTGGTGAGCTTCCTCAACAAGAACTTGATGAGCTTCTGCCTGCTCTCCTCGGGCACGATCGGAAGCCCATCGATGACAACGAATGTATCCAAACCCTCATCAAGTTTCACTTCAAACTGCTCCTTAAGGTCTGCAAGACCAAGAACCGATCGCGGTCAGTGACGAGGGGCACGGGTAACGGATAGGATAGGACAGGACAGGACAGGACAAAGAACGCGAGTCGGGGTCGCACTCACCGGAGAAGTCAATCTCCTCCTCCTCCTCTTCGTGGAGGTCCTGCTCGGAGAGGGTGTCGAAACTGGGCGCCATATTTGCACTCACAGCGGACGGCGATAAAGAGGGGGGAGGGGAACGGGGTGGAGAGCGTTGATACGGAGGAGGAAAGATCCTGTTCTGGATTTTCTGCTGGTCGACCCCGTTTTGGCTGATTTTAGGGCAAAAAGAGCAAATCCCAAACCGCAAGCGCTTCTGTGTGCGAAGCAGCTGAGTCAGCTGTAAATCAGATCAGGTGACTATAGATCACCTGATCAGGTGTGGCTGGGCGGGACAGGAGAAGGAGTGGGGGAGTGGGAAGTCGGGGACTAACGTTACTACTAGTGTAGTGCACGTGATCTAGATTTACTAAGCCGTGTCCCCCAGCTTCTCGACCGGCTGATGATGATTGTCACTCTAACCGATCCGACCTGTACATCGGCTTGGCTGGACATCATAACAATCGCGATCCCACGTATCGTCCCTTCTCCCCCCCACCCCCCCGGCCTCTTCTCGTTTGCTCGTGTGGGTGAGAGCTGTTGGTAGTCCTGGACCGGCTATCTTCCAGTCATTATCTCTTTCCTCGTTGTCCATTACACAATCCCTCGTCTTGCATCGCATCCTCCGGGGATTTCTCTATCGTGCTCCCTCTTATGCCCCGCCGGTCCTAAGCGCCAGCGCTACGCCCAGATCTAGACGCTCCCTCCTCCCAGAGCACCACCACCCGCGCCCTAGACCCTGCCATTTGCTACCCTATTAGCCTACACCCAGCCTCTGGCTAGCAATTGACATCTTTCTGAGTCTCTGTTCACATTAGTTTTGGAATTCACGCGGATAGCGAAGCCACTGGAACAAAATGTCGCGTAAGTTCGGAGTCTGATGTTCCCGGGCCATGCAGCAGTGCCGAGATCGCTCTCAACTGACATCACCCCATTTTTGCGCCAGTCTCACCAGAGGCTCGTGTGCAGTTTACTCCGATCATCGATTCGATCTTAGCAAAAAGCGACCTGAATACCATCTCCGAGAAGCGCATTCGCAAAGGCCTTCAGGAAGAGATCGGATATGACCTTACCCCGCAAAAGGTCAGCTCCCCGGACTTGGACTCTCTTCGCGACACCCTGCTTTTTATACTTCCAGCGTCGGCGTAACATATTGCTAACCTCGTTTTCGTATCCAGGCTGCCGTCAAGCAGCTTATCATGGAACGTTTCGACATCTTTGCGGCAAGAGGGGGCATTGTAGCTGCACCCGAGCCGGCTGTGACTGCTGTCACAACCACCAATGGCCATGGCCCCAGCCATGGCTCCGAAACGCCCCCTGCGGACCCATCGTCTCCTGCACAGTCCTCGATTTCTCACAAACGCCAAGCGGATAGTGAGGATAACTCGGACCTTTCGAGCAAGACGCCCCCAGCAAAGAAGAAGAAGCCGGACAACGATATTGATGCGGATGCCCTGTACGCTGCAAAGCTACAGGCCGAGGAGAATATGCGCGCTCGTCAAACCCGTGGGGGCAATGCGCGCCGAGCTCCTCCCGTGAAGAAGAAGACCAAGGCGAAGACATCTAAGAAGGTCAAGGCGGAAGATGACTCTGACCTTGAGTCGGGCTCAGAATCGGGAAAGAAAGTCAACCGGTCCGGCGGTTTTCATGTGAGCTTCAGATTCTTCTTTTAAGTCTAACACGTTTACTAACACTTCCTCAGAAACCACTCACTCTTTCACCAGCGCTCTCTGCTCTGTTGGGTGGCGAGGTTACTGTCTGTTTCCCCCTTGTCTGTTATGTTTTTCTCATTCTCTGGCTTTGTTGCTGACTATACCACAGCTTTCTCGTCCGCAGACCGTCAAGCGACTCTGGCAGTACATTCACGAGCATAATCTTCAAGACCCTAGTGATAGGCGACAGATCTGCTGCGACGACGCAATGCGCGCAGTCTTCAAGCAAGACCGTATACATATGTTCACCATGACCAAAATTCTGAGTCAGAACTTATATAGCCCCGACGAATGACCTGTTTCCGTTGATCGAGAACTACGGTGACCGGTAGCCTTCAGGACAGGGCAGCCTGCGGCGAATATGTTGCTGCACTTACGACCATCTTATTTCCACTCATTGCACCGCATAAGGAGACCCGGCGCTACATTGCTTGTTTCTTATTTATTCTCTCATTGCCCTCTCATAGTGTCTCA